TTTCGCATGAAACTACATAGGTCCTTAATGCACATGTATATTTAACAAAATCAATTTCCCCTCCAAAGTCCATTGCTCAACATGTAGGTAAAATATTAAAAATTAGCCCTTCTCAGCTACCTTACATTTTCATGTTCATTGCTAAAAGTGGGACTCTTTTTAGATGGCCACCATCTCAATGAAATCTAGTTATGTAATGTTTTTTGTTATCATAAAGCATTAAGCATTAATCAAATTTTAAAGAAACACATTAAATGCTGAAACCAAATGTATCATGGTCATGGAAAACTTTAAGACTGAAAATAGTCAGTGAAATTGGTACATTAAAGAACATTGACTGATCTTTCAGATTTCTGAGTTAATGTATATTCAAGCAGTATAATTCTGACATCATATAATAATTTTGTATGAATATTACAGATCGTAGTTGATGTGAAGAAAATACCAGGAAACTGATGTTGAAAGAAATACTTAATGACGCTTATGAATGGACTTAAATGTGAAAAACTGTTCCATTGTTTATCTAAGATATATGATTTTATTTAGTATTTTAATATCATTTTTATTTTTAAAATGCTGTTTTTGTACATCAAATGAATTATTAAACATTTAACATGGTAATGCTTGTTTCTCTTTATACCTCTTTATACATGTAATTTTTTTTTTTATAGATTTTGAAAAGAAAACACTGTTCACCAAGGAAATTAATATTATTACCAGTAACGTTTACAGAGTGTACATGTATTTGCTTTGAAACTGCTGTTCTCTTTTCACATTCTAGACATTTCGCATTGCTTCCTTAAAGAAAAGTTAAGGAATAAGTTGAAGTTTCCCAGTAATTTCCACCAGGAATGGGAACCAGATAATTCCACAAAGATTCCGTCACACGGAAACTGCTACACTAAAATTCCTTGTAGTTCCTTATAGTTTCCATGTAGTTTCCTGTAAAAGGAAACCTAAAGATTCCATCAAGTTTCCATTCCACGGAAACCACTATGCTCCGATTCCATAGGGTATCCCGAGGCACGGAAGCCAGTGGAATCTTCAGGTTTCCTTACGGTATTCATGTGGTTTCCAAAACATGGAATCCTTAAGATTCCCGACTAGTTTCCCATCCATGGCAACTACTACGCTCCGATTCCATTAGGTATCCCGAGACACTGAAAGCAGTGGAATCTTTAAGATTCCCGTACGGGAAACTTACGGAATCAAGGGAAACCTCGCAATTCCACTGGATTCCGAGCCTCGGGATATATAATGGAATCGGAGCGTAAGGTGTTTCCGTTGCACGGAATCAAGGGGAATAACCCAGTATCCCGCACGGAAACCACAATGAAACATAATGTAATCTTGAGGTTTCCATATGGTGTCCATAAGGTTTCCCACAATGGGAAACTGGTTTTTCAACCAGTGTATATTTTATTATTTTGCAAAATTACATTTCTTGAATCTAAATCTCCCTACTAAGATTTTCACATCACTTGTCGAAGTTTTTAAATACTTAGTCTAACAAGGGAGGTAACTAAGACTAATTATTCACTTTTTTTGCATCGGAAAATTAGAAATTGTAAAAACTTTGTGATATATACTATTTTTTTACATAGTTTTAATTGTCATGAAGCATATAAAAATATGCACAAAAATAGCTTTGCCTAGTATTTTTTTTCTTGACCTTATCGAAAAATAGCAATATCCACAATAATTTACACCTTCTAGCCCCATTTCCATGGCAACCAAGGTAAACTACCATGCTTTCCTTCATATAGTCAATCTTTTCATTCATTGAAGTTTCAGTTAGAAAAAAATTAGCTGAATCCAAGACATCGCGTGGCCACGTCATTTTGATATTTAGATAGAATAGGTATAAAAGTGAAATACATTTTTGAAAATAGGCGATGCATGAGTCTAATTTCAATCTATATTTTATGCATCCAACATTTACTTGAGGAATTGTTAAAGTTTTGAAGTGTTTCGTTTTTGTTCGATTTTCATCCGACTATAAGTTTTCAAAATGTTAAAACATTTGCTATTAAAAGAAATCTGATTTTTTTTTAAATATGCAAGTTTTACTCAAATGTCATTTTTAAATACATTTAAAACTTTAAAGAACGCATGCCTTTTTCATACACATCGAAGCGGTTTGATAATCAAGCCTCATTTCTATCGTTTAATTTATTTATTTCCTGGGCGACAATTGATGGTTGCATCAATGTTTTCTTGCAACATATAGGTATGCCACTGGTCGACGTCTTAGAAAAGTTCTCGCAGAACCTTCTTACTTCAATTTTTTTTAATTAAAACTCAATTTTTATAACATATTAAATTTCAACAATGTTGATGTTTCAACATATTCATACTAGAATTCTAAAGACGTATTGAAACAAAGCAATCTAATTTATTTCTTATTTGAAAAGTAACTAGTCAAAATAATGTATTTCTTTATGATAAGTTATACACATGCATAAATGTTTCTATATTAAAAAATACCAGCACATATCGATTGACGCAAAAACAATTGACTATGACGTAAAAGTCTTTTTGACTACCCAATAACTACGTCATACTTCGCTTACCATTATACAGCTGTTGTCTATTTTAAAGAGCTTCTGAAGATGGATTAAATGGCCTAAAGTCTTATTGAGGTTGTTCATGTTTATAGTACTATATACATGTACATGTATATATATACTCAACAAAAATAGAAACGCATATTGTTTTACTCGTCAAAGAAGTTTTTAAAATGTACATGGAACAACTATTTTTTATATCATTGGATACCTTTGACCTATTTAAAGGACAACATTGGGTTTTAAAACCCAAGTGTTGAATTATCTCCTTCCATTAAACATGTTTATGAAAGTGGTGTTTTTCATGATTTCTTCTAAATCGGATGTCTATTTTCGCTGATATTTTGGATTCAGAGAAACTATTAACACTCCTATCAAACCTATATTTAAGATTTGATTGCAGTGTTGATGCTTCAATGCCAAGCCGAAACAAAGATGAACCCAACCAAGCTAACGATGATACTAAACGGAGCTACGCAACAGGAAGATGCAACTGTATTTGGAATAAATCATTTGGCTTTGCAAGCGTTAAACTAACGTCTGAAGACCATTATCTGACCATCCGCAGGTAACCACGACCAGACAGGACCGTCAGACCCCCCCCCTTCAGCACCTCATGCTTTTTAGAACTTGCTGTAAAAACTGCTGCTACAATTGCTGGATGAAAAAATCAGCATAAAAGTGCATAAATTGTTCGCAAGAGACTGAAAAGAGATATGGTATTCCTCCACGCTATTCGTACATTGGAAACCCAATAGAATTGAGACGTCGCACAGTACAAATTGTTATTCCCCTTGAATTGGGGGGCAATGAAAATGACATCAACTTGACTTTTCAAGTTGCAAAATAGGACATGTTTGATTTTTATCACAACACACTCTAAAATCGCCTAAACTAAATAAGGTTTAAACTGAAAACTTAGATTTTCATATTATTCAGAATATGCATTTCTTTTTTTGTTGAGTATATATATATATATATATATATATATATATATATATATATATATATATATACATTCACTTCGTACGTCACCAGAAGCGAAAAATACTGTAAAATCACATATTTTCGTGTGATAAAATTTTCGTGGTTTGAGAAAAAATTCTTCGTTCGTGGGGATTTGAATTCGTGGATGAAGCTTTTTTGAGTAGTTATGTATTAAACATTTAACATTTCGTGGTGGACATGAATTCATGGGACTCTTCATACCTCGAAAACAACGAAATTTTGTGATTTCACAGTACCCAGCGTTTCTCTTCAAACTATATTTTGATGAAAATCTTGTTTTCTATACGTAGTAATTAATTTGAACATTGTTTCTGTTGATATTAACACAAAAGTGCATTTTCTAGTCTAATATAAAACCACTAAACAAGACATGTACCACGCCAGTGTTATCTATAACAAGATATTTAAGACACCTTCTCCTCTAGTTTAATTGCTCATACCTTTTCTTAAATTTTTAACCATAAAGAATTGTTTTGAAAGATTTCAAAAAGTATTGAATTTAATTTTTAGAAAGGCATCAGCAATATAATACACTTATTGCTGTTTTCTGAGGTCATTACAATGATTTAGCCATCTGAGGGGTGCAGTATTGTACTTCGAAGATGGCTACATCATTGTATTGACCATAAAAAACCCAGCAATAATTGTTTTATCATATGTTTCACTGATAATATGATAGAGCCTATTACTTGTTTGCATTTAATTTAGTCCTAACCAAATACAAACGAGAAGCAGAATTCAAATGTAAATAAGCCTCACTAGTCGTATCAATTTGAAGTTTTTAATCAATTTTTGTTGCCATGAAAAAAATATAATGTCAGTCTTTTTTATTGGATAGATTTTGAAAGGAAGGAGTATTATCAGGGAAATCTGACTGCCAAAAAGTAAAAAAAATATTGTTCAGTAAAAGTATTGGGGGGGTACCCCTCCTTCCCCTGGCGGCTCTTACCACCCTCACCCGAAAAAAAAATATATTCGCTTATGTTTTGTTCATATGAAAAAAAAGTCATAGTCTTTTAAATAGCTTTCCAAAACAATGTGTATCAATTTGGAATTCCTCGATCTATTCTTAAATCGATGTTACAGTATAGGAAATAAATCCTTGTATTCACCCGGAACGTCACGTGCAGGTTAATACAACGTAGTTTTTTTCTAACATAGTTGGATCTCAGCCAATCAGAGAGATTGAAATTATTCAATCATATAAAAAACACAAATAACGTTGATATAACGAATTAACGTCCCCTAACGTTATCTCAACACGTAGTGCATAAGGACAAATGCTTATATATTTCAGCCATATTCAACATGGTACAGTGTATGTTATTATAAATTAAGTGTAAATTTCATTTTTGAACTTGACTGTTTTAGTAGCTTGAAATGCGAATGAGGAATCTTTATATGTATGTATGTATATAAACTTACTTCCTCTTTTCTTCATATAGATGAAAGATATAAGTACTGAGATAAGAACACAAAATATCACACCGAATACAACGGACAAGGCTATAGTGACTTCATTCCCTGCTGCTGGGGATGTACTAGCTGGAGTCACTGTTGAGGTAAGCGACTTGCTGCAAATATAAATTATATGAATGTGTAATCTAATATAATAAACAGTAATAATACTCAGAGGTCAAATGAACATTACAAGCCGAGGGCATGGCAAGCGTAAACTCCTGAAAATCTCAAAGTTGAGATCAAGTGCAATGGAGGAATGAACATCCATTTTTATCCGATTACAACCACAGTGTCCTCTTTATTGATCAGGTTAACGACCCTGAAGTTCTCTTTTTTCTTTCGTTGTTTCCCTTTTGCATAGCTTTAACATTCTATCCATGCATTAAGCTTTCTTTAAAAGATGAATCTTCATAACACTGCTATCTCACCCCTTTTTATATGCAGTATTTTACATTTTAAAATCGGAACTTTATTCTATTATTGCTAAAGTCTTCAAGTGTAGTTTGTATAGATATACATAAAAGTGTTTTTAGGAAAAGGACTTTCAATATATACAAGATATCGATAAAATAAAGTCGTATACTTCACTGTAAAATCACGGCTTCGCCATACGGCTATGTAGGTCATTGTATTATTTAAATGAGAAGATGGAGCGTCTTTCAAGCGTGCGATAAGAATGAATACATTAGCGTGTGTTCGAGGTGTACTAAGTTTTATGATAAACTGACACCTAAAAGTCTCTTCTTAGTTCCAGAGACCAACTAAATATAAACATACATACAGTAATTATTTCATTTGGCAGGCTTAACTTTGGGTTTTTTTCTGCGTAATGTTCTTACGAGTTATAAGTGAAATGACTCATCAGAAATTCAAAATATTTATATATTAAATAGACATAGAATTTGTAATTTGAGCTGTAATGCAGGAAACACTTTTTTTGAAGGTCTGAATTCTGTTTCTTTTTCAGTTAACTAAGGCAAATGTATAATATATACCCACAGTATACTTCAAATTTTAAAATTTTGTACTAACGAGACACAAGCAGTAACTGCAAGAATAATTTGCTATATAACTCCAAAATAAAATGAAAAATACCAAAAAAAAAATCAACCAAAATCCACTGAAATAGATTTTAATAACAAGTAAATAAAAATTCTTAACACATCTTAAACATAAAAAAGTTTTCTCCCTGAAATTTCATTATAGATTTGAAAAAGATTTGACCATCGATAGCTCGCAAATTCTCGACACGATGTCGCATTGGTCTGCTCAAAGCATGAAAGTGAATAATTTAAGTCACCTGTTCAGTGCTTCAGTAGAGACAAGTACCCGTGGTTTTGCACCTTTTCGCGAAAAAACAATTGAGCACAATTGAGTTTCAATTTTTTTCATGAATGTAAATGACTAGTATAACTCTTCATATTGACCGTATTAAGTACAACTTGAAACATCTAGGCGCTCATATAAAAAATGGGCTAGCAAAATGGGGGTGTGGCCTAGAGTCTATGAGAGATCGATGTAAACAACGTACCCCTGCTATATTAATCTGATAAATTTCCTAATTACAAAGCAAGTAAGTAAAAATCGAAAATGAAATTAATAAACTACAATGTTTGATGGATAGATGGAGACAATAATATGTAGAAAATATTTAATTTTATTTGTAAATTATCGGGGGGGGGGGGCAAATGTGGACGTTTAACCGATTCATTCTTTTCGAATACTCGAATGAATGTTATGTACAGATAAATAGACTAATAAATTTGTTTCCCCCTTGCATGATTTTAACATTCTTTACATGCAATTAGCTTTCTTTAAATTTTCGAATACAGTTAATTCTCGATATACCGCCACCATTTGTAATTTAGAAATCATGGCGGTATAACGAATTTTTTTGAATTGAATTTCCCGTCTTTTCAAAACAAGAATTGCAAGTTACCGTTCTTAGAAATACCATAAAGCGTTCTATTCTTATAATTACATGCTCATGTATATAAAACATATTTCTAAATTTTAAAATACTTCAAGTAAATTTTTATGTACAATTTCCTTAAAACAAAATGTGCAGTTATGAAATAGATTTTAATAACAAGTAAAAAAAATTCATATGCATCTATGTACATGTAAAAGTCGGCACGTCTGATTTCATTAAAAAAAAAACATGCTGGGTCGATCGTCGTGATGTATTGCTGACAGTACGTAAATTGGTTTCTTGAATAAATTTATTGTTTATGGCATCATCGTTAGTGAAACGTTCACAATTTATACCGTATAATTATTTTTAAGCAAACTTTCCATTGTTTAAAGCAGAGATCATCAAAATAATATCGTATTCGGCGTACTTTAACAACTACCGATTTCGTGGCGAAGCCGTAAATGATTTTTTAAACAAAACAACAGAACAAAATCATTGTAACAGTTCATATTAAAATTATTTGTTCATTTAACTCTAATTTAATTATTTAATTGTGTGTACCTTGTCTGGCTTTGCATGCTTTACAAAATCGATAATGTCAAATTAATTCACTGACTGCACGCACCTGTGGCGGTATATCGAGATAATTGACACATAAAAATGGACGTTTGTTTTATTTTTTGAAAACAGGGTGGCGGATGGCGGTATGCGAATTTGGCGTTATAAAGAGAATTTTATATAGCAAGAAAAACGTTCTTGGGAAATCATGGCGGTATTGCGAAAATGGCGATGAATCGAATGGCGATAATTCGAGAATTGACTGTACTCGAATGAATGTTGATATACAGACAAATAGACTGTAAATGATGTATCTATCTATGAAATGTATCTATCTATGAAATGTATCAATTCAAGTACAAAGACAAAGTATATTTCCTCCTATCACCAATATTAATACATTTATTTTGGTCCTAGAAAAGTAAAATAGAAGTGAGTACTGTGAGTGAGTTCTAATCTAGTATCGAATATACAAGTTGTAAATTTTCTTTTGTATTTATTTTGTTGAATTCAACAATATTTATGATCTTTATTAAACGATAAGAAGGTTTCTGGGAATTACAGAAAGTAAACTTTTCATGACATTTCGTTTTATGATAAACCTGAAACTGTTTTTTCAGGCGAACGATGTTTGTGTTGCATTTAAATGTCTGCCCTGAAATTATAACGTAAAATGAGTAAAATCTATAATTGTAAGGGATATGATCATAATGAACCTTTACATATCCAAAATAAGGAACTTTTCTGATATTCTTGTCAACATCACAATTTTGTACAATGTGAATATTATGAAAAAGTTACATTATTTCAGTGAACATGCATATGGCAATGCACCCTATCTTTGCAGATATGTATTAACCATGACGCTTTAAAGGGCCTCATGGAATATATGTGTATGTCTGCAAAGCAGGTGTTCTTCGATATCATAACCCCAAACATACATTTAATAATGTCAGGGTCATTGAAGATACTTACAAAATTTAAAAAAAAAACTAACAGTATTATTGAAAAAATTTGCATTCAAAATCCTTTTTTTTAATACATCATGATAAACACTTGTAATTAATTGAATTGAAAAAAGCGACTTTAACCTTATTACGGTTACTCTATAGAAATGATTCATTAAAATCATATTTACCTGCAATTTGAATCGGCAACGTAACATCCTCTTTCTGGATTTATATCTAAACACGCTTGATCTAGAAAAAGAATAGTTTAACAAAATATAAATTGTATTTGTCCGATTTCTTCTCTTATAAAATCGTGTCATATTTAAAGTCTATATTTGGAATGATACATCCCTTTAGAACAATTGGATGACGGGCTGATCATCACTTCTGCTTCATATTTGGATATTTTAATTGAAAAAGACACTGATGGTAATCTAACAACCAAGCTATATGATAAACGTGATGACTTTAACTTTTCTTACGTCAACTTCCCTTACTTATGCAGCAATATACCTTCAACACCTGCATACAGAGTATATATATATCTCAGTTGATTCGATACGCAAGAGCATGCTCTACGTATAAACAATTTCTAAAACGAGGTTAATTATTGACAAGCAAGTTGATGAAACAAGAATATCAGCTGTCTCGTTTAAAGTCATCAATTCGTAAATGCTATGGTCGATACAATGACCTTGTCAGCAAATACAATTTATCACTGAGTCAAATGCTGACTGACGTTTTTCATACCAATTGTTAGTCCATTATCTATACACTGAATTGACGACGGATTTTTTTCTCGTTATTTCCTGATCATGACAACGAGCACGAGGCGGGTGTGACTGATCGGCAGGAGATGCTCACTCCTCCATGGCACCTAATCCAACCTCTGATGTTTCGGAGGTCCGTATTTGCTCTGCTCTTATTTTGTATATTGTTTAATGGACTATGAGATTGAATACTGTTCGTTATCTCCATATCCTTCTTCTTACAGTTTCCAGAGTTATATGTATCAATCCCCCCGCGTGGCACAGTGGTTAGAGCGACTGCTCTTGAGTCGCCAAGTAAGGAGCTGATCCTTATACGTGGCGGGTTCTAATCCCACTGTGAGACATGGTAACGGGTCCTTCTGGTGAGACCATATAAACCATATAAACCGAGGTTCTGCGTCTTAGTAGGTACTGGCACGATAAAGATCCCTCCCTGGTCATTGTCCCTGAGTGCCGAGTGTGGCGTCTCCATATGAGTGAAAAAATTCTCGAGAGGGACGTTAAACATTATACAATAAATCAATCGTGGTTTTTTGCACTTACAAACCCAAACAAACCTGTTTTGATACACTGACATAAATTACTCGTTTCATCAAGTTTAAAAGCATGTCCTTTGGGAGTTAAAGAAAATAAGTGATTACTATAGCAAAAAACTAAAATAGTTAATGAAAGTCTACTTCTTTTTACTATAAAAATTAACTTACATTTATAAATTTCTTTAGTCATGTAATGTTTTTCCGGGCATCCGTATAAGAACCTTGTGCAATTCTCAGCATTCATGTTACCAGTATTGTGTAGGTATGGACAATGCTCGGCTAAAGAAAACAGAAATTATTTCAACAATACATATCATTCATACATTCATGCGAGTAAATTTCATAAAATATGTTTCGAGTAAAAGGTTTTATCATAGCATTTAACATGAGTTTATGATATTTTTAATACTTATATGTAAGATAGGATTCTTATCATATTTTTCTTGTTTTTAAAAGTTAATGAAATTTTCACAGAATCAAAAAGACAATATCACTCACTAACTGATGGTATAAGTGAGAATAAGTTCGACCATTTTATATCACAGGCAAGGTCAGGTCATGGTCATAACCTTTTCCCTGGACATTAAGGATAAAAAATTATAGTAGCCAATCATGCGATCCTGTTTTGCATTTCAAAACATTGAATGTAGTTCTTTTTCTATAAAAAGACACTACCATATAGGGCCTATAAGAAGATATTACAAAACTATCCACTCTTCTAAACTTATGACATGATATTCAGCTCAATAAGACGTACCTAACTGCCATGCAGGAAATCTGCCGCTTCCGAAACAGAACTGCACAAGTTCTGTTTTGTTTTGGTTGGGAACACAGATATAATTATACTCCCCGTCAATCTGAGGACAAAGTTTGGAGGCAGCTTCCAAATATTCATCCCAGCTTTGGGGACAACTGACAGCTTTTGTCTTATTGAACATGGACGACATCTAAAAAATGTAGTGCAATTATACAGTTACGATAAAATGTATTATTGATAATATATATATAGTAAAGGCGAACTCTGTTTTATTCATAAAAATCTCAGGTTCAAGTTCAGTTTATGGGGTAATTGTGCATAAATAACATTTATGCATTATATACAATATATTAAACAGTCTTGTCAGAGGCACAAATACAATATAGGAAGCATCACAGACAATGAAACGTAAAAAAGTGGGGAGGAAAACATATCATGAAGGACAGACAGCAGCATGTTTTTGGATAAACATACAAAGTTTTTCAGCATTTTTGCGTTTGACGTTGACATGATGTCCATTAATTTAAGGGCAGATGATACAAACAAAAAATGGAAGCCTGGATAGGGAAATTTTTTTTTTGGCCTAATTTCATTGAAAATGATGCAAATAATACATTTTTAGAATATAAAGAAATTGTAACCCTTCTATGATGTTCAAAATTCTCTGAAATCCTCCTTATTACATTTGTAATCTATACAAATAATCTTCACTTCCAATCCCATTTTTGTAAAAATCGTGATAAAAAAAATTAAAAACTACACGGTGAAACGTGTTCATTTAACTCATTAAACGTGACTCAAGTTGTTATTTTCATATTTTTTGACAAAAGTTTCTTTGTATTATGTGTCCTTAATAACTCTAAAAGTCTATCGTCACTAGGAAATGTTTTCACAAAATCTAATCTGGTCTGATGATGTAATTACTTTTTCTTTTAAAAAGAACTTATTAAATTGAAAAAAATTGACGTTACAAATTGGTAGGAATAACTTTAAAAATAATTATCATATGATATAGAATCAATGAATTTATTTCTGTGATGTCATTCAATGATAGCATAAGATTTTTAGACAATAAACAATATAATATTGAAGGAAATAGAAGACCTAAAAATCGAATAAAGCAAAAACATGCAAATTCCTGTGAATGTATGAATGTCTACAGATATTTAACCTATATTAAATTTGCTGATTTTTTTTATTAGAAAATGTATAACTGATTTTTTATTTACTTTTTAGCTCAAGTGAGCTTTTCTGATCACATTTTGTCCGTCGTCCGTCTGTCCGTCTGTCTGAAAACTTTTCACATTTTCGACTTCTTCTCAGGAACCACCGGGCCAATTTCAACCAAACTTAACATAAAGCATCTTTGGGTGAAGGGGATTTAAGTTTGTTCAAATGAAGGGCCACGCTCTCATTCAAGGGGAGATAATTGGGAATTCATGAAAATTTGGTGGAATATTTTAAAAATCTTCTTCTCAAGAACCACTGTGCCAGGAAAGATGAAACCAATGGGGAAAGATCCTCAAGTATTGAAAATTCAAGTTTGTTCAAATCATGTCCCCCGGGGGTAGGGCGGGGCCACAATGGCCGACCAAAGTTTTACATAGTAATATATAGGAAAATTCTTTAAAAATCTTCTTCTCAAGAATAACAAATCCATAATTCATAATATTTATATGGAAGCATGTTCAGGTAGTGTAGATTCAAGTTTGTTCAAATTATGACCCCTGGGATTAGGGCGGGTCCACAATAGCCGACCAAAGTTTTACATAGAAATATATAGGAAAATTCTTTTAAAATCTTCTTCTCAAGAAAAGCAAAGTAATAGTTGATCAAATTTATATGCAAGCATCTTCAGGTAAATTAGATTCAAGTTTGTTCAAATCATGACCCCTGGGGGTAGGGCGGGGCCAAAATGGCCGACCAAAGTTTTACATAGGAATTTTTAAACAAATCTTTTTCCCAAAAATTGCAAAGCCGTAATTGGTCATATTTATATGGAAACATCTACAGGTTGTGTAGATTCAAGTTTATTCAAATCTC